GATTTTTCAGGATGATAAATAAACATTAAAGCCTCATGATCAGTAACAATAGTGAATTTCTTTCTGAATAAATACTTATAAAGTATTTTAACAGCCCAAAACACAGCTAATGCTTCTCGCTGAATCTGTGAATAACCTTGTTCAGTAACAGTAAGTTTGCGTGAAACACAAATAACTGGTCTACCCTCCTGTTCCAAAACTGCGCCAATACCCACAGGTGATGCATCAGTGATAAGTACAGACTGTACACTAGGAGAGTAAGTTCGAAGAACAGCATCACTTTGAAGAAACTTTAGTAGACTACGTAAGCATGACTCTTGTTCCTCACCCCATTTGAATGAATTGGATGTCAAAATATTAAATAAACAATTTGCACAAAAAGAAAAATTAGGAATAAAACGAGAATAGTATTGAGGAGCACCCACTAGTGAACGTAGTTCCGTAAGATTTTTTGGAGACGGTGCATTTGTCAGTGGAGCTAGTCGTTTTATATCTGGTCTAAAACCATTACCATCAACTAGGTATCCAAGACATTTGAAATTAGATACACAAAATGAACACTTATTTGGATTCACTGTAATATTCTTCTCGATTAAACGACGCAATAAAGCAATAAGTCTCTGGTTATGAACTACATTATCAGAACCATGGACAATGAGATCATCTTGATAAACTTCAACGCCCTCAAGATCACTAACTACATTATTCATGACTTCCATAAATATAACTGGAGAACAACTTAGACCAAATGGAAGGAAACTGTATTTGAACAGAACAAAAGGAGTATTAATTGTCGTCAAAAGAGATGAAGATTGATCTAAAGGGATTTGGAGATAAGCATCTTTTAGGTCAACTTTCGAGAACACTTTAGAACCATGAAGTCAATTTAGAATATCTTCAGCCTCTACCGTCGTGCACGTTTGCTTAAACAAACGGGAATTCAGTGTTAATCTATTGTCACCACATATTCTAAGGGTTTTGCCATCCGACTTCAGTGGCGTAACAATAGGAGTACCCCATGCTGAGGACTGGATCGGTTCAATTATGCCTTTCGCACACAAATCGTTTAATGTTTTATGTACTGCCTCTCGAAGGTCATAAGGAATTATTCGTCTTTTAAGAAATACTGGTTCACCCTGTACTTGAAGTTTTATAGGCTGAATCTTCATATCTCCACTGCACTTAGCACATGTGGCTATCAAATCTTTGAGTAAAGCATCAGAATTCTCTTTAGAAACTAGGAAAGACAGCTCCCCTTTAAGCCTTTTCAAATTTCTTCAAGCCCAGTATTGACAGTCCTGTTTCGCTAACTAAAAATTCACAAGGTATGTATGAAGAATTATCATCTCTTATTAGCAACTCACAACATCCTCGTATAGGCAGTCTGTGTCAAGTAATCCCCAATATTGATATCTCAGTGGGTCGTACCACAACGTTAGGATCTAAAGATTTCAAGTTCTTGAATGAAATAATGGACTCTATACTGCCTGTGTTCACAATAATGTCATGACATGAACCATGAGATTTATATAATCGCTTTTGAATATGAGTATCACATTTCGAAATGGTAGACAAAGATAAATGATCATTAGGAACAGCTGAATTATTGGGATCTAAATTACAAGATTTAGTACTACTTGAGGCAAAATGAATAGTAGCTTTGCATACTGATTGAATGTGTCCTATCTTACCACATCTAAAACATTTATCATTACGAAATGCACATGAATTACGAGAATGAATTTTTCCACATGATAAACATTTGCTAAACTTGGCCTCACCTTTATGATTTCCTTTGTAATTCCTTGTTGAGATATCTTTCATATTTACACGAGAATAGGAACCACTGTTAAACGAACGCAATTTTGATTGACCCTGAGATTGTATTTCATCATGACGACTAAGCAAAGTATTAGAAATATTCATCGACTGGATATCAAGTTCATTCACTGCCTCGTAGTTAATACACGCAGTTCTAGCATCTTGAAAGGAACAGTTCGGCATTCTTAACAGCTCTCTTTCCAAACGCGGCAAGTTAATTCCTGCAATTAATCGATCTCTCAGTTGCACATGAAGTTGATCACCAAAATTACATTTGGCAGCTTGTTTCTGCAATTCAAGAATGAATTCCTTAACCTTTTGGTCATTTCGACGAGTCATCTTATGAAATTTTGCCCTTTCACGGCATTCAAAATTAATGCACTTTACATGATTTAATAATAACTCCTTAATAGTTGCATAAGATAGTGAGATAGGTTTTTCTGGATATGCCAAAGTTTTCAATAAGCTGTATGCTTCTTTTCCGATGAATGTCAGGAAATGTGCCACAATTTTATCATCTTTAACATCCTTCTTGGTCATGCTCCAAATTTCAAAACTTTCCAAATAATCCTCAAAAGCTACAGAAGTTGAATGAATATCTAACTGTTCCATCGCATGCTCCATCGCGACGCCAACATGATAATTAGAAGTAATTGAATTATAGTATGAACTAAGAATCCCAGGGATAACGCAATTGAATCAAGAAGTACTACACAAGCACTAACGAATGTACTGTATTTAGAATTCGAAATCAAACATTCAACAAGTTCATTAAAACTAATCTGGTCAGCATCAAATGACAAAGACCTACAGATATATTGATTTTTGGGATTTACTTACCATTACAAACTATTCAGCTGGAAGTTGGTTTGTTCTTTCCCACAGTAGGCAGTTGCTGATGGTATGCGGCAGACGGACATTGAGTATCTTGCATAGTCATTTGTTTATAAATATCTGTACTTTTTTGATGATCGTTGTAGTAGTTCTCTAAATTTCAGCTCCATACAGTAGATCTGTCCTGATATTCGTATTGAAGACTCTGACTTCCATACTGGCTGACTCTTGTTTTGAGTTTTATATGTTCTTCAATTGTAGAAATGCCGCCCTTGCTTTGCCAATCCTTGCCCTTACGTCTGCATCAGACCCTACTTGTTCATCGATTATGCTGACCAGATACGTAAATGTTTCCAAATTTTCCAGAGCTTTTAAATTTAGTATGATTGGTTTGGTGTTCACTACATTGTATTTGAGGATGTTGCTTTTCCCTTGTGTATGTTGATGCCGAATGATGCAGAAGTTGCTACTACACTAGTTGTCTTCATCAGCATTTGTCGCTGCACATAAAAGCTTTTCACAGTACGCAGATATTTAATAATGATAAAAGATGTGTTCAGTATATTTGTTGTTTAGGGCCAGTGAAATTCCACTGAGCCCTAGCCAGATCATCCGGCAGTTGGGTCATTGAATTTCGAACAAATCATCGATCCTCGTCAATGTCAAGGACAACCAACGCGCATCAGTTGATTGTACGCCATTGACTGGCCCACGCTGCAGTGGTCTCACCTTCGTTTGTATCTACTTTAACTAATATATTTCTGTAATAACGTCCTCTGTGTTGTACAGTCTTCAAAGCATCTATAGTACCTTGATACATCAATGGGGCAATCCACGTAAGGTGCTGACCGCGAAGTGTGACTTCGACGTTAGCTAGTTTGTCACATCACTCACGTCTAACTCGAGTAGGCCTCCAATCATTTCGACATAGATCATCTACGTTGATGATCTACAGTTGTGTGAGATTTGAAATTAAGACCTCTACCATCTTAGTTCTTGTTTATGTTCTTGATATAACATTTGAAGAATAAATATTAAATTAAATCATAATACGGCTGTTCATCCTCAAGTTTTCTGGAATGCATAATTGAACATTTTAATGAATTCTATAAATCTATTAACAGATGCGCTCACAGAGCTTATATGTTATGTCCAAAGTTTACTCTAGTCAGTTGTCAAAGCACGGTTGATTGATCTACTCGTAACTTATGACTCAAATATCAAGAGAATCAAATCCAGTTTAGGCACCGAAGTTTATTCATAAATTACGAGTGATTAACCGCAATATATTGCTTTCGCAACCAGCTGAACAGTATGAAAAAAAAAATGTCTCGGGTCAAGGGTACAAACAAACAATTTCAAAATTTGAATAAAACGCATTTAATCGAAACAGTGAAAATATTAACACTCAATATAAGTTATTAATCAGTCAAATACTTTCAATTAATCCTGTAGCACTCAAATGTCATCAGAAACCATTTACTTCAGCTTTGAATATCTATGATGAGAGAATGCAATGCCTAATGACTGTGGAAACTATGATAGTAAAGAAAGAGCTTAGACGAATCAGAAACGGTGTTTTGCAGCATCTGCAGGATGTGATTCAATGAGATGCTCTTTATAATTGTCAATAACTCTAAAACTTAAATCTGAGTGTAAACAACTGCAAGCATCTAAATGTATGACACCGGGAAATCGAATTTAAAACAGTTGATAGGGTTTACATAGAATCCTTCACAAATAGAAGATTTAACGTTCTCATGAAATTCCTCCAACTGACAATCATATCACCAACATGATTGTAGGGCTCTTTCCCACAATTTTTATGACTTTTAAAACTGGATGGAAATTGTTCGTAAGCAGTCTTATAACACTGGATGTTCCTGAATATAGGAAACCGTTTTTTAACGGAAATAATCCAAACCCCCGATTGTCAAAATACTCTGATCTCCTTTAAGATGAAGCATTTTGTGGGTAGAACCTGCCGTTATCTTCGTTTCGTCTCCTTTATTCCAGTTCAGCTAATGCATGCTAATTGTAAGTGGAGTCATTCTCGTTGAATTGCTGTAGATGTCAGACAGACGGGGACTAAAACCCAACTTATTCTCTTGGGTTAATCATCGGTTACTGAAATTGATTGTGCTTAGCAGATATATATTTCATGGGATGCTTCCTTAGATTCAATCAGTGATACCCTATTTACAGACCACCTTGTTTCCCTTGAATTAAAAGTATTTCCCGAAGTGAATATATCAATCAAAACGATTCTGGGTAGTGTAAACATCGCTCACCACAGAATTATTACTGACTTGGCCCATTCGCACACCGACACGAAAACAAAACACTAATATATAGATGCTTATATTTATAAAATATGGATTGTTCGCATACCATGCGAAAAGAATATAATAAAGCACGGGAATTTTGATTGTCAAATAAAAATATGAAGTAAAACAGATAAGTTAACATAAATGTTGTTATGATTACAACAAATTTGTAAAGAAAAATGCAAATAAAGATAGTTTAATTGATACATGATTATACCTGTTTTTTCATAACATGCATTGACTTGACCTTCATCGTTTAGAAAACACATTCACAGTATTAGTTAATTGAAATAAAGTCTAATCATTGCAAAACAACAAATCGTTACAGATTGAGGTCACAAATAATTTATACCTATCTACTAATAAATTATATTAAATTTGATAATAACATTAATTATTAATACTAGTGACAATTCTTGATAGATAATAATAATAATTAACAATATACTCATATGGATTCTTTTTCACTCGGATAATGGAAAAGGAATAAAAACGACAGCATTGATAAAATCAAAATATTTGGTACAAAACGAAAACAGTAGCAACGACAAGAACGAAGAGAAAACACGAGGACTAGGAAAAAACATTAGTATCAGCAGCGAAAACAACAGTAACAATGAAGATAAGGAAAATTATCCGGTGATGTAAATGCAAATGAGGATCGTCAAAGAAACCTGATTTTATAACATTAAAGGAATTATTCTGAAGAAATGCACAAATACCATAAGTAGTAAACGGATACTATATTCAGTTGATTTGGCTTAGCAATAAGTGAAGAAATATAATCCCATTGGGGAACAAAATAAACCTATTGTGTCACCACTTCAAGAAATTAGAAAAGTCCTTTCTTTTTCTTTTCAGTTTTTACACGTTCTTTAATTACCTCATTCATAACTCGTTCACCAAGGCCTAGTGTTGGACCATTTGTCCCAATCTCTGCACCAATATCCCATTCACGCCAATTCTCTTCCCAATTTTGACGTTCTAACTCAAATGCACGTCGAGCAGCTTCTTGTTCTAATTCTTGGGCTTTTAATTGTTCTCTCATTTGCTCTACACGTCGCATTAAATCAGATTCTAGTTCACGGAGTTTCTGATTTTTTTCTTCAACCTATTGAAGATACATGTGGTAACAATGAATTTAAATGTACACAATATTGTAGAATGAAATTAAAACCAAATATTAAAAGTGAAGATTACCACAAAAAGTTAGGTTGCATTGTTAGAACCATTAGTGTAATAAACAGCAAAACGTTAATAACTACCTCTAACTATCAACAATAAATGAAAATGAAGAATATACAGAGAATGGTTTCTGAATAGTTCATAACATTAGCAAATAAATGTATACAGTTTTTAAACCATGAGTAGAAAGATTATTTTAGTACAAAAGTATTAGCGTGTAGTATAGAATGAGCAATAACTGAACTTACCATGTAAACCCCTCAACTGTGCTGCATGAACATTAAAGTTTGTTCAATACACAAAACGTTTTTACGCCTAATCATCTTAAAGAAATCAGTTATAGAACATAGATAAAAAACATTCACGTAACAGAAGTTGGAATTTTATGATACGGAAAATGGGACGATTTGATTGACAGAAATCAAGATAAACGAAACCACTGCATCTACTGACATGGCTCAGACCAGAAGTTAGTGACTTCAAGCACTGATGCCACGTTTTGGTTTGGCCGCCCCTAACTTTCTTCCAATCATCCCTAACACCGGTTAGCATTGCGCGTCGCGGTAATCGGTGTTCAGGCATACGCAGCACGTGGCCCAACCATCTCAGTCGATGATGATTCATAACCTCATCAACTGATTTACCATCATTCCCTAATACCCTGCGTCTAACCTCACTATTACTTACCCGGTGATCCCAGCAGATACCCGCAATATTTCTAAGGCACCTGTGGTCAAATACTAGTAACTTACGAATATCTTCTACTCTTAAAGGCCATGTTTCGCAGCCGTAGAGTAGAACGGAACGAACTGCCGCGCAGTATACTCGTCCCTTAATTGATAGACGGATATCTCGCCTTGGCCATAGATGACGTAAGTTGGCAAAGGCCAAACGAGCTTTCCGAATCCGTGCTGAGATTTCGTCAGACACCAACCCATTAGGGCTGATCAGACTTCCAAGATAAGTGAAGTTGTCAATGCGTTCGACTACTTCATTCCCTATCCTTAGTTCAGGTGTTGACGCAGACCAGTCCTGAAGCAACAACTTGCATTTGGAGGGAGAGAAGCGCATCCCAAACATTCTGGCATTGTTGCTCAGTATGACCAAAAGACTCTGCATTTCATCAGCGTCTTCACCAAACAGAACTATATCATCTGCGTATTCTAAGTCAATAAGTGGACCTCCTGGTAGGAGATCAATACCCGAGAATTCAGTCGATGAGAGCGTTATTTCCATCAGTAGATCTATGATGAAGTTAAACAAAAATGGAGAAAGTGGACAGCCTTGGCGGACCCCACTTGAGGTTGCGAAAGCAGATGACAGTTCGCCATAAGCTCTGACTCGACTAGTAGTGTTCGAGTAAAGAGCCTTCACAAGGTTTATGTACTTCTGAGGTACGCCTTTCAATGACAGACACTGCCACAAAACCTCTCGGTCAACAGAGTCAAACGCTGCTTTTAAATCAAGGAAGACCACTATTGTCGGACGCCGATAAGTATGCCTGTGTTCTAGAACCTGACGAATGGTGAATATGTGGTCGATGCAGCCACGACCAGGTCTGAAGCCAGCCTGATTTTCACGTGTTTGCAGCTCACGAGTCTTAGTTAGGCGTCCGAAAATTATCGAAGCTAGTATTTTAGATATTATATTAGTTAAACTAATCCCTCTGTGGTTGTCGCAGGATGATTTTGACCCTTTCTTAAATATTGGGACGATAAGTGATTGTGACCAGTTAGATGGGATGACGTCTAACTCCCAGATTTTAGCCAAAATATTAGTCAACCTAATCGCTAAAACTAGACCACCATCCTTAAAGACTTCTGGGGCCAATCCATCTGGACCAGCTGCCCTTCCTCGTTTCAGATTAGCTATAGCCTTTTGAACTTCAGCTAGAGTTGGGGGACCTACTTCAATGTTCCATTCATACTGTCTGTGAATGGTGGGTAGTTGTAGAGTAGCTGAAGGCCAACTGAACTGCTCCTTAAAGTGTTCCGCCCATCGTTCTAAACGTTTGGACTGGGAGCAGATGAGAGTGTCGTCTTTTTAAGAAATAGTCTGACTTACACCTGACTTATTAATTCCAGTTTGTTTTATTAGTCTATACAGTTGTCTTGTGTTCCCTATAGCCGCCGCCTTTTCCATCTCTTTTGCTCTCATTGCCCACCACTGCTCACGATCGTTCCTTAGACTTTTGCTTAACCTAGATCTGATTTGTTTACGCTCTTCATCGTGTTCAGAACCTGATGGGATGAGTTTACGAGAATCTATCAGTGCAATAGACCTTGAAGAAATCCATTGGTTCTTTGTAACCCTGTGGTTTAAATCACTAGTAGATGTCACTGCTGTTTCCACAGCTGCTTGTATGTCTTTCCAAGCAACATCTGGGTCAGCATTGTTTTCAGAACTACCTAAGTGTGACCTCAGTTGTTCCTGGAACCTACTTTTGGCTTTCTCATTACTCAATTCGGTTCTAATGAGTCTTTTTTGTGTGGCTTGTTTGCATTCAGTGAGGCGCAAGCAAATGCGTGCTCGTATTAGGGCATGGTCAGAGTCCAAGCAGGTACTCCAGAATGAGCGACAATCTTCTATTGACCCTCTCCAACGATGACTGATGGCAATATGGTCTATTTGAGTCCATCGTTGGTTTGGTGCAGGGGGTCGCCATGTTAGACGATGTCTCTCCTCATGCTTAAAATTTGTGTTTGCTAAAAATAAACGATTGTCTGAGCAAAGTTGCAGCAGACGATCACCATTATCTGTTCTCTGTGTCGGAATACTAAAATACCCACCTAAATGTCTTTCTGTTTCGTTTAAGCTACCTACCTGGGCATTAAAGTCGCCTGCTACGAGTACTATGTCTGAACGTTTAGCTTTCTGAAGAAGTTCAGACAGCTTTCTGTAAAACTCATCTTTCACTTCATCCGAACTGCAGTCAGTGGGAGCGTAGGCAGAAACGACGAAAAGGCAACGACGTGTGTCCCTATCCTTTCGAGTTCTTATCGAGCCGTTTCAGCCGAACAGCGCATAGACGACTATTAACGGGGATCCACTCTAATAGCGTTTGTTCCTCCCTCATGCTTAGTGCTATGTCTACACCTGCCAGTCCACGAGAACTAGTCAGCGGGTCGCCAGATACACGGAGGGTGTATCTCGTTGGCTCTCCGTTTTGCCGAGGTGAGGTCAAGTGAATGACCACGCTAGGATCCTGTATGCGTGTTTCGGAGACACAGCATACATCAATCGTACGAGATTCTAGGGTTTTAGCCAAGGAAGCCTGCTGACCGATTTGGCATAGTGTGCGAACGTTGAAGGCTCCAATGTGTAGTTTGGAGCGAGGTTTCAGTAGACCTGGTACAGTGTTTTGCTCACAAGAATCGTTGGCTGTGGTGACACTTGAGGAGGAAGCCGAAAGAGGGAGTTTAGATTTGAAAGTCGATGTAGGAGGAATAATAGGAATTGAAGAGGGAGGTTGATTTTGAATACAGTGATCTTGAGTGCTGTTAGAGGTATGAGGGCGGTTATCACTTCCCGGTTGCCCACACCGTGGAAGGGTTCTGCTGGAGGTACCTGAAAAGGAAATTGGGTTAGAGGTGGTCATAGTGACCTGAGAGCGTGACCGCAGTGCCCAAGGGACAGCTGCTTGAGGTCGGTCACACACGACCTTTTTATGAGTAATTTTTGTGTTAGCTCCGTACTTGTTGAGACCTTACCGCCGGAGACGGATATCCGTGGGATAAGGCGAGGTGTGCATTTTTAGGGTCGACCTTTTCTAACCCCTCTCCTCCTTTTGGGAGGGCAGCATCGCTGTCATGCTGGTTGTCTGAAGGAAACACCTTACTGCTGTCACACCTCTGTACAGTCAGCAGTACGACTTCGCCTTCGGACCTTGGTTTTGTTGCTTTTAGTCTTACCGCTCTTCAACCAACCTGTCTGGCATGGTAGGACCTTGAGGAACGGTTGTTCCAGCCAGTATAGCTCAGTTGCTTCATCACGATAGGCAAGCCCGACCACCACGTCAAGGTAGCAACAACGGTCAGATACCGTGATTACTATCAAAGACCAACTATGAACATAGAAATCTATTTGTATAAGCTGGATAGTATTTCACATATTAATATTGGAGCATAGTACTTATCTGAAACTATTTTAACCGAGGTACAAGACCGTAAGCGGAAAAGAGGAAGGCCAAAGAACACATTACGTCGGGAAATAGAAGCAGATATGAAAAAGATGAATAAGAACTGGAAAGAGCTTGAAAGGATTGCCTAGGACAGGGTTGGATGGAGAATGCTGGTGAGCGGCCTATGCTCCTTCACGAGGAGTAAGTAAGTACAAGACCGTAAAGTCGATCGTGTTTAAATTTGACTTACTTTCTGGTCGAATACAGCCTCCATTTCTGCTTCCATTTTACGCATTTTGGCTTCATGTTCTTTTTTCTCAGCTTCCATGAGAGCCATTGGATCCTTACCATCACGTGTTTGAAAGTGGCTCTCCAAAGCAATGCCTGAAAGTTTGGCATTTCGATAATTTTCATAATGAACATTATGAGTCACATCACGTAATTCCTTATTATAAAATAAACAAACAATACTGACTGGTTAACAGCAAACACAAACATGTGGAAATCGATATGCAAACAGTTTGAAGTAAAGTGTCTACCAAATGGAAAAGATAATCATTACAACAAACAACCTAAAATTATTCAACCGCTTATAATTAAATTTCATGTGCTTACATTTAATTCTGTGATTGTTAATAAACTAAATTCAATGAAAGAATCATTAAATATTAATCAGAACGCAAAATCCAATGTTTGGTATGATCCATTGTATTTAGCAGATCTTCATCATGTTCTTCATCATGATCTACTTTTAGACAAGAATGAAAATAATATTTCTAAAGTGATAAGGGTGAGGTAATTCCGTAGTATTACTAGCTTGTTTATTGATAGTTAATAGTATTTCAAGTTTTTACATTGCAAGAATGATCGATTTGATAGAAAAACAAACAAAACATGGTTTTCATGTACTACGTTAAGTGAACAAATGAAAATAATATCTTTTTGAAAAACTCCAGGAAAATGAAACTCAATTTTATTTATACCAGGTCTAACGCTTATTTTTTGAAAATATGTTTATAATCATGAACCGAATATAAGCATAACTAAAAACAAGACTTATTTGGGTGTATAAGCTCTAACCATAAGCCGCAAACGACAAAAAATATCAAACAAAAAACGTATTTATCAATCCGTCATACATGATACAATCTACTTTGAGAATAGACATTAAATCTTTAATTATACCAAACGCCTAAGAATTTGTGAAAATCGTTTATAAAACCCACCTGCATGTAAACACTTAACAAAAGATATCGTATGGCAGCAAAATCATTATGATCCATGTTTTCAACCTCGACGATACCCCAAGGATAAGAACGTGCTCGAACCCGAACTCCAGCACTATTAGTAATTAGTGTATTAGCTCCGACAATAGCAAAAGGAACCCTATCACGTAGTCGCCGTAATTTAACTAATTCCTCATCGTTGCTCCGATCTATTTGAGACAGAAAAGTCGGTATACTGAAAAATGTGACATTTTTATGTACCAATAATGATTTTATAAATTCTGAGAACAAAATAGAAGATAGTCCCCATAAAATGAAATAAATTACACTTACACAAAAGGAAAAATGATGTGTATTAGTGGAAGTAAAATAATAATTGGTCGTTGAGCGTGGACAAACAACCACAACTTGTGGGCTATTAAATGTGTGATTTTTCTTCCTATCATTGATTTCTACTCTGGAATCACTACTGAGTATAACTGCTTTTATTGATTAAGTATTATCTGGTGTTAATCTAGTTCTCTATTTTGGGTCGTGAGTCTTAGTTTTGATATAACGTGATTAGTCTTATTAATGTATTATCGTGATATACGCGAGAAATAAAAAATATTTTAAACATCCGTTATATAAAAAATTACAACTATAACAAAGATATTTATCTCAAAAAAAGAAAAAAAACTAAAAAGAGCCTCTATAAAAAAAAAGATTGAGTAGAAAACATGATCCTCAACTAAAGCTGATTTTTGAAGACTTTTATAAAAAATATTTTCATTCGCCAAATCAGATGATTGAGAAGTGTTCATATTGAGTCGAATGCGTGGGTTCAATACTGCTGAATATGATGTGGTCTTATTTGACACGCAGTTCATGCGAACAGAATGTAACGTGAAAAACTTAACGTCAATTAATTTTAGATCCATTACCCAACCTCAGTATTGACTTTTTTAATTTAAACCCAAAAACAATCAAACAAAAACGATCTCGTGTTTTAATTGTAAGATGATTTTTGGGAAGTAATACATATATTATGGACTCGTCTAGTAGTACGTATTTAGGTTTTTTCTCTTTTTATACTTATGCAAACTGATTGATTTGATATATCATCCTTCTTAAATCTAAACCTACTTTCTCACAGATAACGATGAATTTACATATATACCCCTGATTAACTTACAACTATTAGATTGGCATTGCATGTTTGGGATGTGATTCTCTACCTTAAAATGCAAAATTCTGTTTTAGAACTGACCTACATCAGCGTCTGAACTAATGATAGGGAGTCAAATCGTTAAGCTTATAGACTACTTGACTTTCCTTGGGAGTCTTATCAGTCCCGATGGACTGGTATCTGATAAAATATCGGCACGGATTCAGAAATCCCAACTGGCTTTCGCCAACTAGCGTCACTTGTGACGTGAAACATCCATCTGGCAACCAGAAGTCGAGTTCACTACGCAGCAGTTATCTCTGTTCTTTTATATGAATGTGAAACGTGGCCATTGAGTAGAGAATATTCGTATCATACTATTATTCGATCACAGGTGTCTTCGGAGTGTTCCTTGTGTATTTTGAGACCGAGGTTAGGCATATGCTACTAGGTTAAGATGGCAAATTGATTGATGTAGTAAATCCTCACAAACTGAGGTGGTTGGGACATATTTCACGTATTCCCAACCACCTACCACCTGGAGGCGATGTTGTCTGTTGTAGGAGTAGATTAAAAGTTAGAAGAGGCCAAACGAAGTCACTGACAGTTAAACCAAGTCAAATTTGAAGGTGTAGATCACCTGGTTGAAGTCCTTGTAACTCTTGTAATCAATGGTTAGAGATGTTAAGTGACATAGCTCAGAGCCATTCGCAATAGTGGAGGTGCAGTTAAGAATTTGGGCCCTGAAATCTCCATATACATTTTTACCACTACAACTGATATTGTTATCACCTATATTACTCTGAGATCTATCTTGAAGCAATTCTATCTCGCCATACTAATGTAGAATGGTAACTTAAGACGATGTGTGTTTCAGATCCCACTTTGATTTTTAAATAAATGATTGTTGAGTGAAAATTCAAACGAAGTAACTTTTTGTACTCCAAAAATTTCCTTCAGAAAATACCAGCCTATGTAGTAACTCGAGGAATTCTGAGATATTTTTATAGACATAAATGTAGAAGCAAACCTAGTCAGGTACATGTCATGTTATTCACAAAACTACAGTAATGGTATGGATATAAATACTGGTAAACAGATCATTCAGTCTCGAGAAGATATTCTGAGTACAAATCAACAGCTGAAAATAAAGACACTAAAATATTTACCTGAGCATTCAGGTGGGTCGATAAACTCGAATACGCGTATTTTTCTAGATGCTAAGTCACTTAGTATTGTTTTCTTGAATTCACGACACTCTTCTGGAGTCAATGTGTCAGCTTTAGCGATCACGGGAATTACGTTAACCTTATCTTGTATACGTGACAGGAATTCTAGGTCCAATGGTTTCAATGAATGTCCTGGAAAAAAGTGATAAACAACTTTGAAGCGTTAATCTTTGATAACAAAGTCAAACTCATTGAGATTTCAATAATAAGACAGTATGATGGATTTTCAGATTTCTTTTATATGAATAAAACTACGGAAACAATGAACAACTTGACTACGTCAGTACGTCAAATAAATGCAACTGATTTCTCCATATTTAATGTGTTGATTTGCATTACATTTCATTTTAAAAACTTGGATAACCTGAATATATAAGGGCTTTAAAACTTAACTCTAACTACTTAAGTATTAAGATAAGATATGCTCTCTAACATTCCCATGGAACGCATTGGGTACGACTGGCATGAACATACCTTCCAATTTAATGTGAAGTACAGTATAAAAGCAATATGTGGGTTTGGTTCTATAAAGTACAATTAAGAACAAGTTGGATGAACTGAATGGAATGCTATCTTTGCTTGTCTTTAAGGAGACAGCAAAAAACAACCTGGGCTAACTTATGGAGTTGAAACTGGTCTACATCCCTTAGTAACCAAAATTCAAATAAGTTCTGAAAAACCGACCAGCCGGAAAATGTCGCAAAATAGTTCACAACTCCATAGACTTTTAAGTTTTGCTTTAATAGATAGATCAATTTCGAACTCATTCTGAATTTGTGGGATGCTCAGAAAGACAGGCAAAACCTGACCGAAAGTTATTGATTTATAAAACCCCAGAACAGTATGCCTATTCAAATATTTTATGACTTATCAATGGATTTTTGACCCTAATGAATTACTTTAAGACATATCATTGTAAAGAACGAAAATTTTAAACACTCTCTGTTAGCGGGACATAGATTGGATTTAAGCATGCTCAATGCACGATTGCTTTGGGGCACGCTGATTGGCTGATTTTTATCCAATCAGCGCTAGTCGATACTTGGAGAAGACTCTAGATTCTTCTTATGTAAAAACTATAAATATACTAACGGTTTTTCTTTTGTGCTTCTTGCTTCCATCTAACCTTTTTATTTGGAATATAATCTCCTTCCTGCTCAACCGTGTTCTGATTTGGGGCCTTGTCGAGTGAATCTGTGTCCGTGAATACTAAGCAATAGGAATAGCTGGGTTAAAACCATAAGAGCGAAATATAACACTCTCCAAGTTAATTTACTAAGCTTAGAAATACAAACGAAAAGATAACCTAACTGAGAAATGTGACAAAAATTCGCAATTCTGAGAACTAACCCCATCAATACAGCTCTATAGGTTTCTATTTAACCAGAAAAATTTGTGCAGTGATATTAATTATTCATAACTGGAATAGTGAACGATATATTGTCTGAAATAACTGGACATCAGTTTGTCGCTAACCACACAAATAAACTATAAGTTTGCGGAAGTAACAGGGCACTTCAAGTATATCAATAGATTAACATGAATAATCAAGTCTAGAACGCCTGGTACGGTCAAGGGTGAGGAGAGTCCACTCTATCTCTCGAAATGCTCTCACATGGCCACGTGCATACAACCATTATCAGGGAAGTCCTACTCACTACACTCTCACGGCATTACGGTTGTTTACGAAACTGAGGACGAAAATCGAATGTCCGGCGCTTTAAATGGGTTGGTGGATATGGAGGATCCACGTAAGGGAGTTGGAAAACCCTGGTTACAAATCATTGGTGTACATTGACTTCAATATCATGAGGGAACAAATGCCGTATGAACATATTGTTGGTCACCGGCTACCATGGGACTGCATCTCTCAATGTTGCTCCACTGTCTTGTGGATTGAACCTCTAGGTCAAAAACTCGGGTTGTAACCCTCCAAGAAAACCACGTACTTCAATTTGAGAGACTGGGCAGTATTCCAGCCTCCATACAAACCGAATAATTTGTATTTTGCATATATATTTGGTACCACCTTGCACTAACGTTTATGAGTTTGAATAAATAGACAAATAACAGGATTATTTTGCGTACATTTGGCACAACAAATTTACCTGTCGGAGCAATAAAGTAAATGCATGCATGGACACGCTGATCTGGGATGCTCTGACACGGACGACTGACTCGGCTCTCTCCAGAAATGTAATCATCGAAACGCGAAATAATATAATCAAGAACCGGTTGCCAGCAGTTAGTATTATCTATACAGTCGCCGAACCCTGGAGTATCGATCAAATTGAGCTTTAGATAAACACCATTTTCCTTTAAAGGTAAAAAACGCTTTGTGACTTTAGATATTACTTTAAGTATAACTGTGTGTGACTGAACACAAGTAGTTTTTTTCTGACGTTTAGATGGGCCAGGGTGATCAGTGTTGTAAACTTCACTGAGAAACAATGAATTCACGAACGTAGACTTTCCAACGCCTGACTCTCCAACAACAAGGACGTTGAATTCAAACCCCTTTCGAACAGCTTTCCGATAAATCTAACGCTAGGAAAAACATACAAAATTCGACAAGCAAACCTGGTTAGGTAAGTTGGAGTAACCAACGTAACCCTCAACAGAAGAAATTCCATTTGCAAGTGCCGTAGCTACACCGTTTAAGTGAGCTCCTGAGTCAATTTTAAATTCTCTATCAGCATTTGCCTCCTTAGACTGGATCTTTAATGAGTCCAGACTTGGTAAGCCATCTTTTCCAAGATAAGCACTTCTCTTACTAGTTCCATTGTGAAGTGGAGACTGCTGTTTGGCGTAATTTAAAAAATCAATATGGAACTTACATAAGACATGTCTACAAAATTAGAAACCACACAAATTCTAGTCCTTAGTACCGCGGAGAATTGAAACACCCGCCTGATTATAAGATACTGAATAAATAGTACTTATTAACGTAGAAAGAAGACAGCAGATTCCAAAAAATGTGCTACTAAAGTATATAGAGGGGATCACAAACACCAAAAAGTTTAGATCCATCCTTGATTACGTGGACTTTTCAAAGTAATTATATATGGCGAGTTTATATAAAATATCTACCTTCTCAACACTTGTTTCCTGTTGTTAAGTTCACTTCCGAAGTTTCGGCTTCCATACGGATGGAATACTTTTTAGGCTTATTCATGTGTATTTCTCTCCTCATTTCTATTTTACTGGACGATGGAGTTGCTGTATTCGATAGATTTCATATCACTAGAAAGTGGCTTATTTGGTAGTGCTACTCCAAAGTAAGAAAATGCGAAGAGTAAAGAGTTTTAAACTATTGGATAGGCTGGTTGCTTGCAGTGACTGTGATGTTAAATATGAATGAAAATAAGGATAATAAGTTCTGGAAACTGTGTACAATCCATGCCGAGTAACAGGCATGATTAGGTTGACATTGATTGGTAAGGTTTTATAGATATTCAGATCTTGATAATACTTTTGTCCGCATAATATTTATGCTCGGAAGATTCCAGTTTCAGTTAAACTGGTAACATTAAGGCTTATCTTAAGTCACTTAGTAATTCTTTCCACTTAATCTCCCAGTATTATTTGACCCCATTTAAAGTATGGAAATTTAATGTTTCTACTCTTACTCAAAAAATATAAGGACACTCTGGAAGGCATCTAAAGGCAAGCCATAAACTACAATTCAAACATTTTGAAAATCTCAAATGACTGAAACCCAATTGAGTAAATGTATGTAAGAAATCAGAGAGAATATGACGGAATGGACTGTGGACAAAACTTTTATTCATTACGTGTTGCCATATTTTGGAATTCGTCGTCGTCTGTGCTAGTCTAAGAGAAACCGTATGTCAGAAATAAAAACGTTCGAAGATATGGTTGGAAGATGGGAGGTGTATCGAGAAGCGTATAATATAAACTTACTAGTTGTTAGGAGGGACGCGTAGCACGGCATACTCAGTGGTAAATTGGTGTGGATGCATGATAGAGCGACTTCAGCTTCTGTATCCGATAATACTAATGAGGTTAGTGTCAGTACCGAAACTTACAGAACTATTCATTTTGAGGATTTATATACTACTACAATCTCTACATAATAATGATAACTTTAGGTATACACTTCCTAAAGAAACAAGACTTCGGATTATCGTGAAAGCAGCATCCTGGACAAAATTTGGAAAGATGCAAGAAATTAGAGGTTTCGGATGTTTATTTGTTTTGGTGAAATAACTATACAATACAACACATGGGAGAATTCTACATAAGAGTCTGTGATGGGCAATCCTTTCTAGTTGTTTCCAAGTGATAATCATACTCTTCGTGTCTGTCTCCAATTTCCAACTCAATGTGTTCTTTGCTCTTCCTCTTTTCCTTGTCCCTTCACGATTCCAAGTTGGACCTTGGCTCGTGTTTCAGTTTGGTAATTTCTACCATGTATCTCCCGTTCACTTCCAGTGTCTCTTCTTAATTAACTATTCAGCTGGAAGTTGGTTTGTTCTTTCCCACAGTAGGCAGTTGCTGATGGTATGCGGCAGACGGACATTGAGTATCTTGCATAGTCATTTGTTTATAAATATCTGTACTTTTTTGATGATCGTTGTGTAGTGAACAAGAACACCAGTGGGAACAATCGAATGTAATTGACAACAAATTACAGCACTTGTTAATAAAATCTAACAACCATATAGTGAATCGTTAAGTTTCAAAATAACAATCCATCATATCAAACTGGACTGTTCCTGTTGCAAACATCAATCGATTGTCTGACATTTGATTGTTCATGAGTTTCTATACAAATTCCATTGTGTTCCCGCTCTTCCTTTCTTGATCTTCCTTCATCTTCTGATGCCAGACATTACGTTTAAAACCGCGTCATATACTACTTATGTCTACATAAGTAGCACACACCACAGTTGTAGTAGTTCTCTAAGTTTCAGCTCCGTACAGTAGATCTGTCCTGATATTCGTATTGAAGACTCTGACTTCCATACTGGCTGACTCTTGTTTTGAGTTTTATATGTTCTTCAATTGTAGAAATGCCGCCCTTGCTTTGCCAATCCTTGCCCTTACGTCTGCATCAGACCCTACTTGTTCATCGATTATGCTGACCAGATACGTAAATGTTTCCACCTCTTTCAGAGTTTCTCCATCAAGTGTGGTTGCGTTGGTGTTTTCTGTGTGGGTAGGTGATTGACTAGACAACGAAACAACCACATTTATCAGTCACATTGAAGGAATGGGCACCGTAATCACGTAAATCCGAACGTTTACGTAAAGCTTAAAATGAAATAGTGAAGATGAATACTTAACCAGCGTACATCGGTCCTATAATAAATAAACGATTTAAATTGCATACTCTCAAATGTTCGATAACAAAATGCATAGGTTGAAACTAGTGATGCAGAAGATAGTTTTCAGGCAGTCTGCAATACAACGTCAAATGAATGTACCACGTCCACTAATAAAATACCTCTATATAAACAAAATATAACTACAAACATATAGAACACCTGCCTGTATAGCGGATGTGTTGACTTCAAATTTCTTGAAAATGGCAAATGCTTCTTCAAAAAGAGAGTTATTTATGGCTATATTAGCAACATCAGGAGCATCATAATTATCCAAGCGATTAATGTATTCCATGACACGACTTTTATCAGCTTTAATTGCAGTTAGAATTAAAAGATTTTGAAGGTTGCGATGATCAGAAAATACTGAATTGTCCAAAACTATTTTTTCCAGAAGTTCAATTAGTTCATTCGGCATATCCGCAGCCATAAATGCCTTAACAGAAACGGATATCTCTTCAGGATCTTGGGTTTCAGAAAGTGCTGTCTGAACAACTTGATCAATTAATTGTCGACGGTAACTATTAGATTCACTCAAAGCTTCTGCCCACAACTCCGGCTCTTTCCGTCTAACTAAGTAACGAGCTTCAGTTTTGAATAACGCGTTTTCATTGCAAACCTAAAAAATAAAGTCGACATATAAACCATAACAAAGCATAAAACCACCAGGTTTCGAAAAACTGAAGTACAAGTGGATTTAAAAATAAATTAAAATTGAAAATAATACATTATATGTAAAACGTACTCTGATTAGGTCTTGGTCACAATGTCCACGTTCATATGCAATACACGCCAAATGTGGATCACGCTTTTCACAGTATTTACCGACAACAGAGCTATTATAATACTGATTTTCTCTCAAGAAACGTTCAGGATTGTTATTGAGGTCAATGTAAATCTTTGCTAGGGCATTATGTGTAGCAGGTTCAACAGAACCTTCATGTACACGTGATTCAAGCCATGGCAGTAATAGCTTCAGCCGATTGCGCTTTTCCACCTCTGCAACAAGTTCATCAGTATTGAACTGACCTGCAAAAATAAATAAATAACGAGAGTATTATACTTTATTAACCACTTCTTGAGATTTCAAGTAGGAAAAATTACAAACGTACCACGAACAACGGCCATCAACTGCTTTATTATATCCTCTGAACAATCAACATCTAAAAGGCCTCCAACAACTACTGGTAAACGGGCTGGATTAACTTTTTGCACATAAATCTCAATGTATTTCTGCAAATTATTACGAAACAAGTAAAGGACGAGATCATGAACAAAATCGAAGCGATCGCAGACAATAATAAGAGGTAATTGATCCGTAAGTTTTGCCTCCTGAAAAAAAGTTTATGTTACATCATAAGAACCATAAAAGAAATCTGATTAGTATTATTTTAACAGAAATTGGAATATTAGCTAAAAGCATCAGTATTGGCAGCAATTTCCAGTAGCCGTAACAGTTCATGCTTACTTTTTTTGAAATAGAACTACCAGACTTTCAAAACTAATATGAAGTCTAGAAGTACAGTCCTTACGAGAACTGATTATCCTTATCACAGACCGCAATTATGTATATTATCAGGAAGTGCCTAACAAAAATCTCTCCGTAGAAATGTCAAAATGTACGTTTCTTTCATTAAACTTTTACCTTTCACCCTAGAGTGATCATGCAAGACTTGCACAAGGAGCCTAAACTGGATGTGCCAAATTATAAAATGGACCACCAAAGCTCTCACATAATTGAGTTGACTGTTACTCTTTATTGAATGTTAGAACGAAATATAATTAGCATTTAAATATATATCTATCATGGATCTACCACACACAAAATAAGTAAATTCCTCTTCACTATGTTTGAAAATCCTCAAGTACAGTGAAAACCTAATTTAGTGGTCACAGTAAAACCAGTTCATAGTACGAATTTAGATACATTTCGAATCAACACCACCTGTTATTGGATGAATTTTAACTAATAGAATGATACTTAGGAATTTAACGCAATGCGTATTAAACTCAGAATAAAACCACATTCCCAATTATTTTAATTATGAATGTATTTTTAAATACAACTGAGCAATTCTTTATCAAAGCTATTGGGGTTGTGCAGTAATGATAAGATAAGCTTACGATCTTCTACATGCAGTATCATCACTAGCAAAAATCCTTAGTGAAGAGAGTACATTTGTTTAGATAGCTTGTAGACAACTGATTTAAACTTGTAACTAGAATCGGCTAGCATAAATGAAGTTGATTACCGCAATTTTTTACGTATATAATAAATGCATGAGAATAAATACTAAGATTATTACCTTAAGAAAATTTTTAACTCGCTCTGGTTCATAACAATTGCTTTCGCGACAAATACGTTCAACTTCTTTGACTTGTCCGGTTTTACAGGCAGCCTGAATATATTTAAAATGAACTTCAGGTTCTTGACTAAAATTAACAATAGACCCCAAAAAGTAAAACAGGCCTTCAAATGATTTGAATGATTCGAAAATTTCGATAAGCGCATTCGTCCCCAACTGTTCGTGATACTTAGTAGCAATCTGGACACAGACCTGGAGATTTTGTC